GATAAATTAAATTTCGAGCAAAAAAAAGCAGACACCATCAAAAGTCTATGAATTAAAAAAGCCAAGGACTAGAAAGATACACAGCCGAGTTCTACAAGACCTTTAAAGAAGAACTAATACCAATGATCTCCAATTTATTTCAGAAAATAGAAAAAGAGGCAGAACTTCCAAACTCATTCTGTGAGGCCAATATCACTCTGATTCCAAAAACTGGCAAAGTCACATCAAAAACCGAAAACATCAGACCAATATCTCTAATGAACATAGATACAAAAATTCACAATAAAATTCGAGCAAATGAAATACAAAAACATATCTTGGAAAAAATAAATCAAATTGATAAATCTTTTGGCATGCTAATGAAGAAAATGAGAGAAAACTCAAATAACTAAAATTTGTGATGAAATGATATTTTGATGAACACCATTAAAATACACATGACAATCAGAAAACTACCCTTAACATCTATGCTAAAATAAAACTAAAAATCATAAACACATGCACAAATTTCTAGATACATATGACTTAACAAAATTGAACAAGAGGACATAGAAAATTTAAAGAAATCAATTTTAAGCAATGAACTTGAAGACACCATCCAAAGCCTACCAACAAAGAAAAGCCCAGAACTAAATGGATTCTCAGGCAAGATTTCCAGACCTCAAAGAATAACATCAACCTCCTCAAATTATTTCATGAAATACAAAGGAAAGAACCTTTCAAACACATTCTTTAAAGATAGAATCACTCTGATAACCAAACCAGAAAAAGTATATCATGTATACACAATTTCAGACCACTATCTCTGATGAACATAGAAGCACAAATTCTTCATTCTAAACCTGTCAAATACATACAAAAAACATATTTAAAAGATAGTACACAACGAGACATTGTTTATCCCAGGGATGTAAGTTTGGTTCAACCTCTGGAAATCACTAATTGACTTTTCACCTCAATAGACTTAAAGACAAGAATAACATGATTATCTCAATAGTTGCAGAAAAGGCATTGGAAAAAAAATCAGCATCCATTCATGTTCAAAACCAGTAAAAAGACTAGGGATAGTAAGACCATAGCTCAAAATTGTAAAAGCAATATATTCTAAACCCAAGACTAACATCATTCTAAATGAAGAAAAACTGAAAGTGTTGCCTCTAAAACCTGAAACAAGCCAGGGATGCCCTCTTTCACCAACTTTATTCAACATAGTCTTTGAAACCCTAGCCAGAGCAATTAGAAGAAAAAATTATAGGGATATGACAAAGAAAAGAAGACTCAACCAGTCCCTATTTGCTGATGGCATGATTGTATATTTAGATGACCCAAAAAACTCCACAATAAATATTTTGGAACTCAAAAAATTAACAAAGTAGCACGATATAAAATAAACATGCATAAATCAATTACATTTCCACACACTAATGATGATTCAGCTGAAAGAGAAATTGGGAAAATTATCCCATTTACAATATCCTAAAAAAATAAAATGAAATGTTTACAAATAAATTTAGCAAAAGAGGTGAAAGATGTCTACAAAGCAAATTACAGGACACTAAAGAATAAAAATTGAAGATCTTAGAATATGAAAAAACCTCCCATGGTCTTGGATGGGCAGAATTAACATTGTCAAAATGGCCATACTACCAAAAGAGCTTGAAAAATTTTAAGGCATTTCCTATTAAAATTGCAATTATGTTCTTCTTTTCTATGGGAAGAAAAGAATGTAGAAAAAGCAGCCATTGTATTCACTTGAAGAAATAAGAGGCCTAGAATAGCCAGGGCAATTTTCAGTGAGAAAACTGAAGCATGAGACATCACAATACCAGACTGCAAATTATTCTAGAAAGCCACAGTAACAAAAACGGCATGGTATTGACACCAAAACAGACATGAATACCGAGGTACAGAATAGAACATGCAGAGACAAACTCACATATGTATAGTTATCTCATAGTATCCAAAGGCACCCTAAACATACATTAAACAAAAGAAAGCATCTTCAACAAATGTTGCTGGGAAAACTGAAAATCTATATGCAGCAAAATGAAACTAAACCCCTGTATTTCACCCTGCAAAAAATTCAGCTCAAAGTGAATCATGGACCTTGACATTAAAACAGAGATCCTAGGCCTACTAGAAAACAATTAGGCCCAACTCTTCATCATGTCAGGTTAGGAATCAAATTTCTCAACAAGACTCCTAAAGCACAAGAAGTAAAATCAAGAGTCAATAAATGCCCCTGACTTCAATACCCAGTATCCCGCCCCCCAAAAAATTTGGTACATATACACAATGGAATATTACTCACTCACACTCAAAATCTTCTTCACAGCATAGGAAAAAAGAACATGAAGAGAGATCATAGACAATCGGAGAAATACTTTGTCATCTATACCTCAGATAGAGCATTAATCTCCAGGATATATAAAGAACTAAAAAAAGTAACAAAAAAATCAATAAATAAATAAATAATAAAAATAAATAAACCAATCAATAAGTGGATAAATGAACTGAACAGACTCATCACAAAAGAAAAAATGTGATCAGATAACAAATGTATGAAAAATGTTCCATATTTCTAGCAATTAGAGAAATACAAATTAAAACTACACTGAGATTTCACCTCACTCCAGTCAGAATGGCAATAATCAAGAATACAATAACATTAAATATTGGTGAGGATGTTTGGAAAAAGGTACAGTCATACACTGCTAGTGGGACGGCAAATGGGTACAAACACTCTGGAAAGCAATGTTAAGATTCTTTAGAAAATTTGAAATTGAACCACCATTTGACCCAGTTATCCCCACTCCTTGAAATATACCCAATGGACTTGGTTTCAGCATACTATGGTGATGCAGCCACATCAATATTTATAGCAGCTTACTTCACAATAGCTAAGCTATGAAGGCAACATAAATGCCCCTCAATGATGAATGGATAAAGAACATGTGGTACAATTTTGGTGTAGTGGTGCACACCTATAACCCCAGCAGCTTGGAAGGCTGAGGCAGGAGGATCACAACTCCAAAGCCAGCCTCAGCAAAATTGAGGTGCTAAGCAACTCATTGAGACCCTGTCTCTAAATAAAATACAAAATAGGGCTGGGAATGTATTTTGGTGGTCAAGTGCCCCTGACTTCAATGCCCAGTATCCCCCCCCAAAAAAAGAAGAAAAAAAATGTGGTACATATACACAATGGAATATTACTCAGTCATAAAGTAGAATGAAGTATGGTATTTACTGGTACATGGATGGAATTGGAGACATAATGCCAAGTGAAATGAGCCAATACAAAAAAAAAAAAAAGCTGAATACTCTCTCCGATATGTGGATGCTAACACAAAATAGTAGGGGGAAGTTCACGGGGTTGGACAGAGGGTAGTGTGTAGAAAGGATGAAGGATAGGAATGGAAAAGATGGTAGAATGAATCAGACAAAACTTTCCTATGTTCATATATGAATACACAACCAGTGTAACTCCTCATCATGAACAACCACAAATATAAGATGTTAAATTTTATTTATGTATGATACATAAAGTATGTTATACTGTCATGTATATCTAAAAAGAACAAATAAATGGAATTATAGATAAGCATACATGTGTGTATATAAAAAATAAAAATAAAAGTATGTGATTAGTTATGGCAGAAATGGTCTCTGGATATAAAGGAGAAATTCAGGCTAATGTCCTTCATGTGTTACCATTTTCTCTTCCATCCTTAGATGCCAGTGTTATGCTGATGGGCTTCCCAATCTCTAGAATCATGAAATATATAAACTTACACTGTTCAAAATTTATACATCCTGTGGTATTGTCATTGCAATTCTAAAATAATTAACACCTGACCTCTAGCCTGGCATGGTGGTACATACATGTAATCGCAGTGACTTGGGAGTCAGCGGTATACAAAAAATTACCTCTAGAAATAAGGAGTAAACATTAGCACTATTTAAAGGTGGATAAAAATTGTGTAGTATGTAAGCAGGTCTGACATCCATCAGAGCAGAAAAAACAAGTGCCTGGAGGACTGAATAGTTTAGGGGCACTAAGAAAATATTATTTTATAACCAGAAGCAATATGAATATAATCCAAAATGGATTATATTTCTTCTATTCTAATGAGTCATAAAATATATTTTAATTTACATGTTATCTACAAAAAGGATCTCTGAAGGAAGAAGCATGCAGACCACAAAGATCATGATGTATCCTCAGTAGGATGAAGTGCAATTCAACTCATCATGGAAGACACTAAAAAGCAGTGTTATAGGGTGGAAGAATACATTAAGAAAGGAATACCTACTGTATGATTCCATTCATAAAATGTTTTAAAAGTATAAACTGAGCAAATACCACAGAGAGCAATTCACTGGTTGCCTGGGAGGTGGTATGAGAACAGTTAGAGGAAGTATTCCCACAAGGCACAGGAGGCTTGTGTGGTGTAGTGGGTTTCTTGACCTTATGTGTGGATGTTCTCAAATGTGTGAACATATCTCAATATTTGTACAAAATTTCACTTCTGGGTAGTTCAATGACTGCCAAATATTCCACAACAATAAAATTTATATAAAATAGGCTACAACCAGAATCACTGGAGTACATAATGAGAACCAAGGAGAGGATCACACAGTTCTGGATCTCCTGGAAATAGGGAAGAATGGATGTAGAAACCACAGGATTCTCCATCAGATGTCAAAACTGAGATAATCAGGGTTGCACTGGCTGCCTCATCACCTAAACCTCAGGGAAAAGAGACCACAGCATTCCGAATGTTCAGCATCTCAAGCTAAAGAGGAGCAATGATTTATTTTCTGAAGAATCTCCATATGATATTTTCCTAGGAACATGCTGCTGTGAATGATTCTGAGGACAGGGGACAAGAGACTCCTCACTCAAAGAAGTGATTCAGGAGATTCAGCTGGGCTTATACTACTGGTAGCAGAAAAAAAAAAAGAACAAGCCTGAGCAAAGCTTCTGGGTGTTTGCCCACCTGACAGATGGTAAAGGGGTTCTTGTCTTACTTCCCCATGAGTCTGGAGCACTGTGCGAGCATCAAGGCTACTGTCAGTAGATTGACAGTAATAGTCAGCCTCATCCTCAGGCTGAAGCCCAGTGATGGTCAGTGAAGCAGAGTTGCCAGACTTGGAGCCAGTGAAGTGATCAGAGACCCCTGAGGGTCGATTACTATTACCATAGATGAGGAGTTTAGGGGCTGTTTCTGGGAACTGCTGATACCAGTTTACACTATAGCTACCAATATTGGTGCTGCTTCCAGTGCAGGAGATGGTGATTGTCTGTCCTGGAGTCCCAGACAGTGAGGGCTGCTGTGTTAGTACAGACTGGGCCCAGGACCCTGAAAGAAAAAGTGACACAGACAGAGTGATTTTTGTCTAGAAAATAGAGTAGAATCAGGATCCATATCAGAGGACTCCCACACCATATTCCTCCTCCTTATCATGTCACCTGTACATTGAACAAGGAATGTGAAGAGGAGACAGGACCAGGCCATGGTGAAGGTCATCCTGAGCTCTGTCTTCTGTTCACGATGCTGAGGAGAGTTTCCCCCAAGTCTCTCCCTTGCCTTCTTAATACACTGAGAAGGGGAGGGTCTATCTATGCAAATTTGTGTCATCCAGGTTTTCTAATTTCACCCTGGGCCCTGGTTAACACTAATGTATATAAAGATGCCAAGTGGGTGTGCAGGGGTGGAGTTGGGTTGGCTCAGGGATATTAAATATCACAGCTGTGAGCCCTAACAAAAGAATGTCAGGCAGAGCCAGGTGGCTTATTACAGTTCTAGTTACTTCCCAACCCCTCTTAATGGGTCTGCCATGCCCCCTATTGTCCAAGCCCATACACTTCATCATGTGACATTCTGATCAGGAGTCCTGAGACAGACTTGCATCCCCACTGAATATTCAGGTAAATGAGCCCCTCTGTGGCCTCCCATTACAACAGGGTGGCCATTTTGCTTTCCTCAGATCCTCATGGTGAATTTATGCATAGTTCACTTGACACTTCACAGTAAGATGCTCTCTTTGATATAAATTCTTCCCAGATCAGGATTAAGCAGGTGAACATAAATGTTTCAAGGTACCATCATCTTTACAACACAAAAACTTTGTTTCAGGGTCCTTTCACCTTGGACTTGGCAAGGAACTCTGTTGTAAAATCTTATGAGTTGCCATTCAGAAGGTACTTGTGTGCATGTTTTCAAGCTTTCTCAGTTCAGATGTTTGTAACCCTTATTGCCAGAAAGTGACTGAGGATTGTGACTATCAGCTAAGCAGAGCCATATAGCACTTCAGCCACAATTGGCTACATGCAATGCCACAGAGACTGTAGATGCTGAAAGGCCTGAAGTTGCAGGACTTGTGAATGTTTTCAGTCATGGATGAAAATGTCCTGTCTCCTAGCCAGTGACAAGGATGCAGGTGGTCTGGGCATGATATCAGCCTTTTCTTCATATTTGTTCAATATGATTCAGTGTATTTCACAAGGGTGAAAAATTTCAACTGAGGAATTTTTTTTTAAAATGTTCCATTTCCATTTTTAATTTTTATTTATTTATTTTTATTTTTATTATTATTTGATCTTCTACTTATAGATGACACTAGAATGTATTTTGACATATTATACATACATGGAGTTTAACTTTCAATTTTTTTAGTTGTACACAATTTATAATTACATTGGTCATGTGTTCATATATGAATATAGAATAGTAATGTCTGATTCATTCTACATTCCCAATCCCCCTCCCTTCCCTTCATTATCCTTTGTCAATCCAAAGTACTTTTATTCTTCCTTACATGCCTGACCTTATTGTGAGTTAACATGCACATATCAAGAGAACACTCACCCTTTGTTTTTTGGAGATTGGCTTATTTCACACAGCATTGTAGCCTTCAGTTTCGTCTATTTACGAGCAAATGCCACAATTTTATTTCTCTTTATGTCTAAAAATATTCCATTTTTTATATATACCACATTTTCTTTATGAATGTATCTATTTAATGGCACCTGGGCTTTTTCCATAGTTTAGATATTGCGAAGTAAGCTTCTGTAAACATTGATGTGGCTGTCTCACTATAGTGTGCTCTTTTTAAGTCCTTTGTGTATAAAATTAGGAGTGGGATAGCTTAATCAAATGGTGGTTTCTTTGCAAGCTTTCTGAAGAATCTCCATATGGCTTTCCAGGGTGGTTGGTTGCACCCTTTAGCATTTCCACCAGCAATGTATGAATGTACCTTTATCAAATTTATTGTTGTTTGTATTCTTGATAATAGTTATGGTGACTGGAGTGAGATGGAATCTCAGTGCAGTTTTAATTTTAATTTCTCTAACTGCTAGAGATTTTGAATATTTTTTCACAATTTTGATTATTCCAGATCCCAAGATAGGTAACATGTGCCATTCTGGGGCCTAGCTTTCATACTTAGGAATGTAACTCAACTCATGGTAGATTGGTACTCTTCAATTCCAGCAAAATTTAAATATAGACTGAAGTAAAAATCAAGCAGATATGTTTATTTCACTGAGAAGAGAAATTATGAACATTATGAAATCAAATATTTTTCATATTTATGAAAGTGATAGTATAGAGATTAGAAAAATATAGCATTTTAAAATGAATTACTTTTAAAATTGCATTTTAAAATAAATTATACATGGAATATGAACATTAGTAGTTATTCAAATTTATTAAATTTTAATATATTATATATCAATCATTATTTCCTCTTTTATTCTTCTTTCTTTCCTCTGAAAGGAACAATTGTAGGTCAATTTGAGATATTTGTAGCTTTAATTAAAATTTATTTTTCCACCTTCACATGGTTCTCTCAACTGCAATGAATGTTAATATCCTGCAAATTTTTATAGCTTCTCTTTCCCTTCAGTTAAAAAAAAAGAGCAAGACCAAAAGATCTTTCTACTCCACTGAAGATATAAATGTTTAATTCTCCTCTTCTTCATGAGTGTACCTATATCAACCAGCACATATAAAATTTTCTTTTGATTATCTTCCATAATTTTATCTTCAAATATGAACCCAGAACATTTGAACTCTTTAAACCAAGCATCATGAAAATAATTATATAAAATGACCAAAGTTTCCAAAAGAAAATTGCAGATAGAAAGTAAGCACATTATGGTGCAAATGCAAACAGGTCCAATCACTCTAAAAAGCAGTATACATCCACTATTTTACATATTGCTATACTAGTGTCTGTTGTATTCTGCTGCCTTTCCTATCCTCTACTATCCCCCATCCCCTCCCCTCCCATCTTCTCTCTCTACCCCATCTACTGTAATTCATTTCTCCCCCTTGTTTCCCCCCCCTTTCCCCTCACTTCCTCTTGTATGTAATTTTGTATAACCATGAGGGTATCCTTCCATTTCCATGCAATTTCCCTTCTCTTTCCTTTTCCCTCCCACCTCTCACCCCTGTTTAATGTTAATCTTCTTCTCATGCTCTTCCTCCTAACTCTGTTCTTAGTTACTCTCCTTATATCAAAGAAAACATTTGGCATTTGTTTTTTAGGGATTGGCTAGCTTCACTTAGCATAATCTGTTCTAATGCCATCCATTTCCCTGCAAATTCTATGATTTTGTCATTTTTTAATGCATAGTAACACTCCATTGTGTATAAATGCCACATTTTTTTTAATCCATTCGTCTATTGAAGGGCATCTAGGTTGGTTCCACAGTCTTGCTATTGTGAATTGTGCTGCTATGAACATCGATGTAGCAGTGTCCCTGTAGCATGCTCTTTTTAGGTCTTTAGGGAATAGACCGAGAAGGGGAATAGCTGGGTCAAATGGTGGTTCCATTCCCAGCTTTCCAAGAAATCTGCATACTGCTTTCCAAATTGGCAGCACCAATTTGCAGTCCCACCAGCAATGTACAAGTGTACCCTTTTCCCCACATCCTCGCCAGCACTTGTTGTTTGACTTCATAATGGCTGCCAATCTAACTGGAGTGAGATGGTATCTTAGGGTGGTTTTGATTTGCATTTCTCTGACTGCTAGAGATGGTGAGCATTTTTTTTATGTACTTATTGATTGATTGTATGTAACCAAAGTGATGCTGCAATCTGTATATGGGGTAAAAATTGGAGTTCATAACCCACTTGAATCAAAGTGTGAAATATGATTTGTCAAGAACTATGTAATGTTTTGAACAAACAACAATAAAAATTTTAAAAAAATAAAAATAAAAAGCAGTACAAATATTTCTTAGAAATCTTGGAATGGAACCATAATTTGATCCAGTTACCCCACTCCTCAGCATACACCCAAAGGACTTAAAATCAGAATACTACAATGGCTTAGCCACATCAATGGTTATAGAAGCCCAATTCACAATACCCAAGTTATGAAACCAACTTGGGCACCTTTCAACAGATGAATCAAAAGAAAATGTGGTATATATACACAATGGAATATTACTCAACCATAAAGAGATATAAAATTATGGCATTATCTAGTAGATGGATGCAACTGAAGACTATCATGCTAAGTTATATAAGCCAGTCCCAAAAAAACAAAGGCCAAATATTCTCTGTGATGTGTGGATAAACCCATAGCAACTGAAAGTAGGGAGAAGAATTGAAGATCATTGGATAGACAAAGGGGAATAGAGGGAAGGGAGGTGGGATGAGAAAAGAAAACAAAGTAGATTAGACAAATCTTTTCTTTCTTATTTTCATTTATTCATATAAATGAATAAATAAAAAGAAGAACATATAACTCTACATCATGTTTAACAACAAAAATAGAATCAAAATTGTAATGCATATATATATATATATATATATATATATATATATATATATATATTAAGATATATGCTGTCATAGATATCTAAAAACAACAAATAAAATAAGCACATGATATTATTCATCTATTATTAGAATTAGCATATTCAAATAACAATGAAATGAGTTACACCTTTATGGAATGGTTTAATATTCCACAAACACATTTTTTTGGAAATAAACATATACTGAAACTGTATATTCACCGTGAATCCGAACTGAATGTGAAGTTGAAATCAAAATGAATGATGACTTATGCTCAGCTAGAATAAGCTCATGCATTCACTAATTTCAATCTGTGGATTACTGCATAGACACTTGCATACACTGGTTATTCATAGGAAGAATAAACCACTTAAATGAGGATATTAGCCTACAATTACACTTCTTTTCTTCATTAATTTAAACTCAATTGTAGGATCTAAGATTAAAGAGATGGAGGATTTTAAATGCACACAGTTCTTTCAACCAGACTTGATATTATGACAAAGGTAAAATAAACCAATTTTATTGTTATGTTCTAAGGTTTTGAAATATTGAAATTTGAAATTAAGTTTGGAGAATATCTCACATGGTGCAAGAAAACTTATTTTTAAAGCATCATTCTTACTGCTTCCACTTGGAGCAGAACATCTGAATTCTATTATTCACATAGATAGTTTACATGAGTCTACAATTAAGTAGTTTTTAAAAAAGCAAATAAAGAGACAAAGTAAAACAAGCACTTACATATCAATCTGCAGAGACATCATGGATGTTTGCATATTCATCTCAATGATACTGTTTTAAAGAAAATGTATTTACAAAATTCAGGTCTA